CCAGTCTTTACTAAGTGTGATGTATGAATTATTCTTTTACCAAAACTAGTGATACATTTAAAATTATTAAAATTTAAGTGGAAATGACTTTTTCTTTACTATGTATATTCTGTTGTTACTCAGTGAGAAAGGTAGAAAACCATTATTCTTAAGTTTTGAGAAGAGAAAGTTCACTGTTGGGGAATTTCTCAAACTTTCTATCTTAAAATTTTAAGGAAAGAAGTTATTTTCTGATGCCTCTGAAATAATCTTTAGCATGTAATATATGTAGAGTTACGAGGTTTAGCAAATAAAAGGATAGTATTCTCAAATTTTAATTTCAAATAAATATGGAACATAGTCATAATAAAATGATTAATCATTTATTTGAAATTCAAACAACTGAATATCCTTTAACCTATATGAAACACTTGAAATACACTTTTATTTGTATATTTAAATAATATAAAAAAAGGACAAAAAAAGGAAATTAAGCATTTCCAACTATTTCATATTTTAAATACCTCTCATACCAATGCTGGTTATTTAAGTGGCATAGAATTAAGTAAAGAGGGCAGAAAGGTATCTCCAATAGAATTATAGACTGAACAAAATATCATGAAATTGCGTGCATTCTCAAGGAGGTCCTTACCACGGACAGCATCAGTTCAAACATACTTCACAGTCTGAGAATGAATTCTCTACTCTCAGGTTATTAGATCCATGGAAAAGTTTCTCTTCAAGTTGCTAGGAGCCAGTATTTGTTTCCTACACTGAACACTTTGGTAACTCAATTCTCATTAAAAAAAAAAAGAAAAGAAACTCTAATTAGTTTATTATTTCCCAGTAATTCCCAGAAAAAACACCACTTCGATGATTCGGCTTATTTATTTTTTAATTTGCATTGTATAATACAAACAGATAATGTAGTGACCCTAAACTCTTTCTGGGTCACAAATCCTTTAGACAAGCTAATGAAAATCAAGGATTTTGTTTTTCAGAAAAAAATAAACATGCATACACAGGCACACATTTTTGTATTAAAATTTGACAGAGCTTACGGTTTCTCTAAAGACCACATGAAAACCTTATATAAAAGCTCAGAAAATAATATTACCATTTTATGAGGACCAAGATCTGTCATGTAAAGGTACAAGATCCCAATGATGAATGTAACTGTACTGTATAACTAAAATGTACCAATACACTCAATAAAAAAGATTAAAGAAGAAAAAAATAATAATATTACCATTTTATAGTATCTTCAAATTTGATTTTTGACTGATTTTAATCAGTAATTGATTCTGCCTATACAGTGGCTCACATCAAAACTTCGTATCTTCATATACCACACACACATCTTTAAATTATTTTCCGCACCAGCAGTAACATATTAACACATAAACATCACCTTATTTTTACATGTGTGTCTCATAAATAAGATGAGAGAGTAGTGGATTCACTATATTGGCCCCTTGTAATTACTATCAAATGTATATTTTAACATAGGTACAGGAGTAAGTTCTCTGGAAAAATACATCATTCCTCAGTACATTTCATTCCTTTAACTAATAGTTGTAAAGTCATGCTAACTAATTTAGGAATACAGTTACCGCCAAGGTTTTGCTCTTTAAAACTTATTAAGACATTACATTAAGGCAGTAGGCTTGACTTCCTTAAAAATAATGGGAAACAATGGCGCTAACTGTACTAAAATAACTTCATAGCATTCCAAAATGGACTTATACCACTCTAATTATTATTATTATTATTATTATTATTATTTTGTACCAGGGATCAAACTTGGGTCCTTGTGCTTGCCAGGCAGGCAGTGGAACCACTGAGCTAAATCCCGGCCCCTACTCTAATTTTTTAAATCACGACTTTGGATAAATTAAAATATATTTTTATTTTTGCAGTGTAATTTTTTAATTTTCAGTGTACTTTCTTAGCATAAATACAAATTATTTTGTCAGTGATGGCAATATGCTTACTTTTCCTTCTCCTCTTTTCTCTAAGATGAAAATAAAGCACACTTGGTCTTGAGCAAGGGATACAATAAGGGTGTACTATCATCAAGGAAACTAGAAAGTGCAGTATATCTCCTGCCCACAAACAGGTCATTTTTTACAATGTTTCCAGAAGATCAACAGCTGCAGGGAAAGAACAATGAACATAACCAATCCCATGAAGCAGAAAGTACTTTGGCATTGCTTATATACTGCAGCACTTTCTTGCCTTTTGTAGTTGAGGCTGTCCATGGTACATGTAATGGTTAAGCTTGGTTGTGTCAACTTGACTGGCTTGAGAGCTGCCAAAGAGATTGGTGGAACACACTGACGGGTGTGTCTGGGTGGGCCATGGAGACATTGGGCACTTTATCTGGTCCCTCCTTGGTACTGTTCCTTGTTCTGTTTCGGGCCACTGTCAGCAAAGTATGTTTGCTCCACCAAGTCCTTCTGCATGATGTTCCTACACTGGAGTCAACCAACCATGGACTGAATCCCCTGAGGCCATGAGCTAAATTAAACTTCTCCCTCTTTAAGTTGTGAGTGTCAGGTGTTGTGTCCCAGTGATGGGAAGGCTGAATAATACAGTATGATACAGTACAGTTGCCCCCAAGTGTGACGCATGGACTTTAAAAGCTGAAAGCATGCCAAGAAATGTGTTACCTTTGTGCATATGCATATTCATCATAAAGATCTCCAAGATCAGGGGGTTTCAAAATGTTTGCTTTTATTCATATAATCATGCAAAATGCTATCTTAAGAAAGCTGAAGCACGCTGGGCCTGCTGACACATGCTTATAATCCCAAAAGTCTGGGAGGCTGAGACAGGAGAATCATGAGTTTGAACTCAGCCTGGGCCATTTAGCAACTTAGGGAGATGTGTCAAAAAAAGTCAATAAAAAAGGGGTAGAGAATGTGGCCCTATGTAAAATCCCTAGGGGTGTGTGTGTGTGTGTGTGTGAGAGAGAGAGAGAGAGAGAGAGAGAGAGAGAGGGAGAGAATTTCAAGGAGCTCTAAACCATAAAATGCAAAGTTCAAGTACTTCTAATCCCTGAAGTCAAATCTCAGGGGATGGTGCTTTCACAGCACAGTAAGATATTATTGTGTTACACCCATAAGACAGATGTGTGCTACCGGGACAATCACTCAAAATTCACTTATGGATCATTCTCAATTTGAATATCATATATCACATGTGCTCTAAGCTTTCTGATTTTAAGAGAATGTTTTAATAGGGCCATTTAAAAGGTTGCACTTCACATTAACGCAGAGAATAAAAGATGGAAAACATGAAACCACTCCATCTAATATAACTGTCATAATGTACAGTAATGTATGAGGCTAAAATACTTGGAAAACAAAACATTAATGACCTTTCAATGAACTTGTTAAGGAAACCATGCCATAAGTTAGTATGGGAAGTTGATGACTAGATGTGTATTTGCTGTGATGAATGGAGAGAAAAACTACATTGCAAAGGCACTCTTCTGAGTTCAAAAGGGACAAAGTTGTTATAGAAACTTTTTTAAAATAGGACATAATTTTTCTTACACAAAATTGAAGAGTCTCTAACATTTATATGACCCCATTTAAATGTATATACTATATCAAAGTATATGTTTCAAATTATCTGTCTGTATATATGTTCTAAAACTATAATATTGTTTATGTTTAACCTAAGAACAGTTAAAGGATTGAATGGGTTTTCTGTTCTACCTATTAATAATGAAAAATAACACAACTAGTTCATATTGTATCATTATTACAGAACTCCTATTAAATATATATTTTCAAAGTAAGTTGCAAGGGCAAGATGAGTATGAAGATCATTATTATTTAAATTTTTGATAATTTAATTTATAGCCATGTAACCTTACTATGTGCTTTGCAACTTTTTTCCTTTTTAAGAACCACTCTCTGTACTCTGTATAGTTACCTATATAATAGAAAAGGATAACAGTAAAAGTATCAACTATTACAGTATGCAAAGCAGGAGAATGAAAAATATTACCAAAAAAAATGGGTTGGATTCTTAGAAACACAAATAAAAGCCCCTCCCTAGATGTGGGATTAACTTTCTGTGGAAAATGCACTGCAGTGTTTTCTGTGGAAAATGCTTACCATTCATGGGGAGCTGTAAATCACAAAAACTAGGAAGCGTACCTGTACCTTCACACCACTAAAACAATACAGCTATAATAATAATTTTTACAAATGAATGATCCAGCAATTTGGGGCAATGGCCTTCCTGCAGAATTTCCAGTTAATATTCCAGCTGGCAGCTTTACAAAGTGATTAAGAGAGTCCTTCTACAGTGATTCTCTCTGATTCACAAAATATATTTTAAAAGGCCATCGCGAAAGGCCTGCCCCTCTCAATCCATCCACCTGGCTGCTTCACACTTGCAGTTGCTTTGCTACTGGATTAAAATAAAAGTAAACTGGATGTCCTAAAGAGAAAGAAAACATAAACCGAGATATTGAGGGCTGGGGGTTTAGCTCAGTGGTTCTGCTGTCTGCTTTAAAAGCACAAGGCTCAGAGTTCAATCCCCGGTACAAAAAAAAAGGGGGTGGGGAGAGATTCAAATATAGTCAAAAGTGAATGAAATCACTTTTTCCCTGTGGTCTTACATTTATTTTCAAACTCAGCCACACAACCCAGAAACCTGGTAACAATAAGTCTTCTGAATAATAGATGACTGCTATATAATGACTTACCAAAAATGAATTCCATACATTTTGGGGCATGAAATGAAGCTATTTCCACCTCTAGTCCTTTATTCCCATTCACCCACACTTCCTTTCTGTTACAGACTGTTAGAATGTTTTACATTTGGGGTTGAAACTGGCACTTCAGTGGAAATGCTGCTATTTACTATCTATGTACTTTAGGCAAATTAACCTTCCCAAGTTTTAATGCCCTTATACACATATGATAAAAATAATATTGAGTTTTTAAGGTGAATGTAGATAAATTACCCAATTCAGAGCTTGACACACAGTAGGCACTTACTAACTAGCACTCGTGTCTTCTCCCTACCCCTGGGACTATTCACTCAACCTGTGGTAGCAGGGGGAGGTAGGAACTTGTTGAAACTGGAAGGTAGATGGGAGCAGAGGCTCCTGGAGGCCGCCGATGAAGACGTGACAAGGTTCCATCTTGTGACGTAATTCGACAGTGGTCCCAGAGGGAGCCCTCCATTACCAGCAGGGATCAAGAGTAATGAACGGATTGGGCTGTTTGGGGTAGGGAGTGTGCTGTGTGACCAAATGACATACTCATCACAGCTCATTTTTGAAGTAGCTTTGTGAAATCTCTAATTAGTCACATAGCTTTATGTATGTTGTTATTCTGATACAAAAAGCAAAATGTGTTTTTTTTAATCAATCCTTAAATATAAAAAGGGAGCAACCATTGTCTTGTTTTCTTGGCTTCTTTTTGCCTAGTGCGGTGTGAAATAGTGAAGTTTCTAACATTGTAAGGCCCAGGATATGAAGAAATTGTCGCTTTCCTGTGGGCACAGATGACAGAAGGCTGTGCAAAGACTGCGGATGCCCTGCCTGTTTTCCACGAGCCCCATAGGTGCTGTAAAACCAAACCCTTATCGCCAGGCCATGAAGGGTCCAGGTGCTTTATTTTACAGATTTCAATGGTATTCTTTTCCATATATATATAAAGGTTTCTTGAGTTAAAGCAGATACTTTTCAAGAAAAATTTTACAAGCCATGAAAAATAAATTACTTGCAGATGTATTCAGACCATGACCTGAAAAATTATATAAGATTTTTGTCTGGCTCTGGGTTCCCCAGAAAGAAGCTCCTGGGGGATGTTTTACTAAAATGGGCAGTTTTATTTACACTGAAGATGTAAAAGGATTTTATCATAACCAGATACACGGCTTCATGTAAAGAAAAGGTAAACAAGTGTGTGACGGAGGGAGATGCAGAGCTCAAAGGTCCGTTGCTGCCCCTCCTGCCTCACACAGGATCCCTGGAGACACGAGCCACTGCTGGGGCAGTGGAAGAACTTGAACGAGAGATGGTGCTGCCTTTTTTTTTTCTTTTTCTTAGTTACATAAGTATTTTAAAACTTTTATCTTAATTCTCATTTTAATTTTTCGAAAATAAAAAGGGTTTCCTTTGTTTGCTTTGTTGCCTAGGAGCTAGGAGATAAAAGAGGAAATGCGAACAAAATGAAGGCTGTGGAGACAAGAGAACAGTTCTTTTTTTTTTCCCTTGTTAACTCAAAAACCTAAAAATACATGACCAAATTTTTTTTTAAAAAAAATCAAAGTTCAAAGGGAAGGTCAAATTACTATCCTAAGGATGCAGTCACAAAAAGAGACCTGGAAAAATTAGGCAACAAAAAGCAGTAAATGTGAATTCTTTTTCTGTCCACTGATAAGATTTTCAGATTTGTTTAAGTTTTCTTAGATGATTTTTTAAATTATCTATGATCTGCGTGGCATTTAATTACATGTGACTGTTTAAATGGTCCAGCAAGACCCTGACCACTAGAAGTCTAAGGCACGACTGGAACGAGAAGTGAGTGGTGAATTTTGTGATGTCTCTGAGTCAGTCAGTTTGCATTCAAATCTTTTACTCTGCAGAACTTTCTGACATTTTAAAAGTGAGAAAATTAAAGTCAAAACGCATAAAAAACAAATAAATAACCCTGACAGAGGCCCCATGTGAAAGGCGCTCGATCGGTATTTGTTCAGTGGTAAAGAATGCCGCGATTTGGGATCACTGCCTCGGCCTCGCCAACCTCGGGTCCTCTTTGGCAAAACAGATGCGGTGAAACCGCAGTTGTAGAATTTTATATAGTATTAGTGCGGTGTGGGTAAATGATCCCTGCTTAGGAAATAGCTGCTTTCATTAGTATTATTAATTATTCCTAGGGCTACTTCACCGTGAGCTAAAGTCAGCCTCCTGAGTGGACAGTGGACGACCACCTCCCCGTGTCAGCCCCACCAGTCCAGCTGCTGGGCGAGCAGAGGAAGGAGTGGCAGCCGTATTCCACCCTACGAGCTGGGCCCAGGTAAAAATGTGCCGAAGTCAGTTTTGCAGACTCTTCCCCTGGAACCTGAGATTCCTTACTCCTACTGTTCTCTTCGTTCTTGACCTCTTTCCCAATATCACGCACAATTTCATGTTCTGAGGCTTGTTATTCAAAAGTACCATACAAGTTTATACTTATGTTTCATTGTCATCCATAAAGTTTTATGTACAGTTATACCTTTTTGAAAAAAATCTTCAATTCTCGTTTAAAGTAATTTTAGTCACCGAGTATTTGGGCAATGTATTTTGTGGTACAGACATAAAATACAGCCACCTAGTGAAAGTGGCCTCTTCCAAACTGACAAGGTCATAAAAATCTGTAGAAATCTGGAGAAATGTTTCAATATAAAAGCATAAAAAACTGTCAAAATAATGTTACAAAATTGGTAAAACAATGACAAATGCAGTCTATGACCAATTGGGGGAATAACGTAATGGTAAAACAGAGCAACTGGGGCACAAATGTATTAAAGAGAGAAACAGACCACCTGGGCAGACATTGTGTGAGCAAAGAAACGTTGGTTCCCTCGCACATGGGTGCGTGGGTGGGCTGAGTCTGGGAAAATGGAACTCAGCAGCCAGCAAGCAGAGAACAAAGGATGGAAAGGGATGGAGAGGGTTGGCCGCCTTGAGGGATTTGGGCAGAAAGAGTGAGGCGTCCTCGCTTCTCAGGATGGGCGGTGGTTATCCAATGTCACCAAGGTTCCTGGAGCTGCAGAGGCTGGGATGTGGTCCACTGTCTTCGTTCACATCTCACCGCCCAGGTTGATGGGGCCCAGCTTTGTCCTGCCTTATACCTTACACCTTATACCACGTGGCTTTGCTCTAGAAAACTCCCTTGAAAAATGGGGTCTGCAGGCAACTCACTTTTGGGTCCCCTTTCTGTCTCTCTTAGATAGAAGCTATCTTTCTCTCCATAAATTCTTCCGACTCCAAACCTCCAGTGTTCCTAGAATTCATTCTTCAATGTTAGGGAACGAACTCAGTGTCTGACATCTAGCACGTTGGGAGCTGTACTATCTCCCTTATATTATTTGGGTTATTGGGAGGCTCTGTACCATCCCTGTACCATACACCCTGTATCACAAGGGCCTCACACATACTCAGCACACCCCAACCCTGAGTATGCCCCATCCCTTAAAGTACTTACTTACGTTTAAATTGATTTTTATGAAACCACAAAGTTTAATTTTGAAATTACTGATTTCCAATTAAAAGAGCAGATGTTTGAAAGAGAAAAGAATTCTCTATACAGTTGTGGTAATTTCAAAAGCTTGACTTTGAACATCAAGGGTCAAAGCCTGTGTAGACACAGAATACACATCTCACCTACAATCCACAAAATGGAAATATCAATAAAGTGATAAAGGTTGTTTCTGTGCCCCAAAGTGACAAGGCAAAAAAACGAAGAGAAAGTCGGAAAGGTGACAGAGTGAAGCAAGGATCAGTCTCTGAGAAGGGTTAACTGAGACAAGAGAAAGCCTTAGGCATGGGTCCCTTCACTGCAGAGGTGGAAGAATCCAGAGGCAAAGGAACTGCACCCAGATTACAAAGAGACTGCGGCCTTGCAGAAAGCCACCATTTACTGTGTGGTGCGGTCCCAGTGGTTGAAATTTCCTACTCTCCTCCCGTTTTCCACCCACTCCCCCAAAATGCGTAGACTATCTGAGAATATCTGACAGGTTTCATGGACAGCAGAGGATTTGAGATTGGGCTGAGGAGGATTAAATGTTCTCATGAGGTATTTGTTAGCTCTAGAGCAATGTTTGAAAAGGGAACAGGAGGAACAAGAATCCAGAAGAGGATAAGAAGCCAGGAAACACACTTGTAGCAATCTAAACATGCTAAAGAGAAAAAAAATTGGATCTCAGGTACAACCAAGAAAGAGCAGTGCTAGGATAGGCCCTGAGCACTTTGTATTCCCAAAGAGAACATCCTAGGAGTCAGTGTGAGTGGGAAATGAACATGTTCTCATCCACCTTTGAATCGGCTGTGAATCTAATTGGATGGAGTCAAGCCAATTACCACTTTAACTGGCTACCAGAAGCAAAAGAAAAATAGTCTCTGGAGTAACAGAATTTCATATGCACAAATATTGAATGAAAACATGAAGAAAGTCAGCCAAGGATTAGGAACTACATGAGGGAATTGAGTGTTGTTTCTAGAATTAAAATTTTTAAATAACTGAAATTAAGAGATATTTAGTAGATAGTTTTTCCAAATCAGACAAATCTATTTGTGGACTGCCAGGTAGCTCAGAAAAGAAAAAAAAAATTTCACCTGGCATGGCAAATGCCTGTAATCTCAGCACTTGGGAGGCTGAGGCAGGAAGATTGCCATGAGTTCAAGGCCAGGCTGGACTATATAGTGAGATCCAGGCCAGTCCGAACTGCACAGCTAGACCATGTTTCAAAAAAAAATCTACTGAATCACAAAAAAGATAAAAGAAAATATTACAAAGAAAAATGCATAACAATATATGTCTATGTTATACTGAAAGGGTCAACTGACCAATATTTAGAGTCTATAAAGAGAGAAAGAATGACATGAAGCAGAATTTGAGTAGAAAAAGGTCTCACAGGGCCAGGGACTTAGCTTAATAGTGCCTCCGCCTGCCTCACGAGCTCAAGGACCCAAGTTCAATCCCCTGGTACCAAACAAAAAAGAAAGAAAGAAAGAAAAGAAAAAGGTCTCATAAGTTTTAAATATTCTGGAAGCACTAGAAAACTACAGCTGGATACACGTACATAAAACAAGTTACTGACTAATTATGGTTAAAATGACTAAAAAGTAAAAGTAAATATGAGATGACAAGAGATACAAAAGGAGAAGCAGGAGAGCAAAGAAATGCCTCGAAAAGAGAAAACCCAAGCTGGAAAATAAAAATTAGTAATCACAACAGATGTGATTATGTCATGTAGTAAAACAGATTCTCAGATTGCATTTTAAAATTCTTAAATTTTTCCTACACTCTACCCAACACACATTTTTAAAACATGGTCCACAGAAAGAGGGAAGAGAAAAATCACACCAAGCAAATAAATAATAAAACTGAGTGTTTTTGTAAGAATAGGAATATTTTGTAAGCGAGAATTCAAGCAAAACTTACTTTAACTTGAAAGGCTCTTGTTACATAAGAACCCTCATCCACTGCACCAAAATGTATGCGCCTTACCAGACCCGGAGCCAGCGAGTCAACGGGTGTCACTTCCTATGATTCTAATTAGGGCTGAAGGCACAAAGAGACGGAATAACCAGACATCGAAGGAGAATTCGCGGTCAGGGTCTGAATGCAGGCAGAACTTGAATAGCAAGGCAGCACCTGTCTTACAATTCACCAATGTTAGTCTTACACAGTAAATATCCCTGTTTTAGTATTTAATGCATTGCTCGTGAAGATGAAATGAATCACTGCTTATCAGTTACCTGAAACAGTGGCTTTCATTCTGCATTTGTTTGATAAGTATTATGTATTATGGCCGTTGTGGAGTACTGTCTTCTGGCATACTATTTTCTAAGGCATATATTGTAATTCCAATGTTGTACTATGCTGTAATTAAGGATGTTTTTTAATTATGGTGAGACAACTGCAATTCAAATTGTTCTAAAATATGATGAGTGGAATCAGAGATACTGAACGTGGCCTCAGTTCCTCTCGGTTTTGAACAGAATGTTGAATGAAACGGTCCTTCCAAATAAGATAACTACTTGTTAAAATAAGCTCTTCAGTCGCTAAGGAAAAGATTCTTATCCCCATTTTGCACACAAAGAAAGTCAGACTCAGGCCGAATGTTTTGGAGAAGTTCTTAGAAAGAGCAAGTCTGGATCTAGATGGATATCTTCCAACTCCAAGTTCAGCAGTGTTTTACAATTCTCTCACACACTCAGACAGATGCACACTTACATGAAATCTTGCATTTTTATTTTTTAAATGTTTAACTAAAACACAATGACATAAAATTTTCTGAAATACCCCAGGCAAATAATAATAAAAATGAAATCGTGATAGCTATTATATTTGTCTTATTCCATTTTAAAATGTTCTCTTTTTGATTGGTACACTAAAACATGAAAGTTATGATAATGATTTTTCAAAAGGGTAATGGTAGCCACAGGGTTTGGTGACTCCAGGTTAAAAAGAAAAAGAAAGAGAGAGGGAGCGAGAGACAGAACGCCAAGGTAACTGAGCGTAGAAAACCAAGTCAAACACATCTGTAAACATAAAAATTACTCCAGATCAATCCTTTGTGTTGGGAACAAGAATAATATTTTCTTCTACATGAGAAAAGAAAATGTAAATAAATATCTCCTTTTGTGAGGTTTTTTTTCCTAAGACCTGAGAGATATAAATATCTCATGTGCTTGAGAATCCAAAGATGATTCTTGAAGAAGATCAAGGCGAATGCCCCTCCTGTTTATGTTTCCATTCATTTATTTATGTATACGTATAGACAACGAACTTTAATTTTTATTTTTGGCTTTCTACTTGAAGGTCTGAAGGAAAGTCAGGAGCCCTAACAGGCAGAGGCCTGCAGGAGCCAGGAGGGGGGACCAGGCCAGGTGTCCCTGACTCTTCTGAGATGCTACAGTGATTTATGGGTCAGAAGAGCAAACTCCTAAAATACAAACACGTTTGATGTGGAATCTAGAACCCTCTGTGAGACGTACTGGTTGTCATGAAATTTCATTTATTTGTCTTTAGAAACAAACCCAGCCCAGTTGTTCAGCTGTGACTATAGACAGCTTGTCCTAGATTACAGTTTATTTCATTTGAACTCCCAGGAATACAAATCTGCAAAGAGGCATTGTTGTTTTATTTCCAGTAATTGACAAGTGGGGCGTGAGAAAAAACTTCTGGACAATGATTTTTTCCCACGATTTCATTAATATATAATCTTCAACAGCTTAAAAAAAAAAAAAACTTCCCCAAAACTTCCATCACCTTCTGAAATAAAAAGATCATGGCTTAGTACAAAGGTC